GTCCTTAAATCGTCAGTGATACCATTAGAACGGATATATCTAGATGTATAAACACAGCTATTTTGTGTCATTAATAGCTAAATAGCTATTCTTATTTAATTTATTGAATAGCAATTTAAGCTATTTTTAAGCTATTAGCTGTTATGTTAAATAGCTGTTTAAGCTGTTTTGTACACCGCTTGGTGAAATGCAGCTCTGAGTGAGAAGAGGGGCTGTTGTTGTGCCTTACGCCCAGCTCCCGGGTGTTCAGGTGCTGGCGTGCAGGGTACCTGTAGCGTAGGGAAAGGAATGTTTGCGATGGAGTACCCTGTGCTGTGAGCCATGGTGGGCCTGTTGCAGATACACTTCTGAGAAGGAGTGGAAGCAAAGGTCTGTTTCTTAGCTGGTTTGGGTTTTTTTTTTTAATTGGCCTTCTTGTAAAGTAATGGTACAAAATTGGGAGACGCGGGAATTAAACTCGGACACACAAATTAAGCAGTATTATTTTTTTCACTGCTTTTTTTTTCTCTTGAAAAATAGTTTTCTGTAATGTGACAGTTATGAGGAGCTACCTTTGGGTGAAGAGGTTTCTAGTAAACTTCAAATGGGAAGACGATCCCTTAAAGTACGTTCAGGGAGGTGACGGGGGTTGGCCCGAGGCCCAGCGCGTGTGTTACCCAACAAGCTGGAGCTGCGCTTTTCTCTCCGAGTTCTGCTGGAGCCTGAGAGGAAGCGCTGGGTTTCCTGTGCGAAGCTTGCTCCCTTGCCCTGGAGTGTCTCACTTTGAATTCCGTAGTACAAAGAGCCATTCTTCTGAATCATGTTTTCTTTACAATTTTGCATTCCAGCTCAGCAATTCATTCCTCCTTTTTCTAATGGCAAGAACGTTACCGGAGCTCACGTTAACATCGGCAAAATGGCTGGTTCATGTTCTTCTGGGGGGCTTGAATGCTCCAGTTCCATTCCGTTGTGGGTTATTCCGAAAATACAACACTTATAATGAATATTAGGTACACTAAGTAGTGACATGTTCTGAAAATCAGTTAATATCCCTGAATTTAAAAGTTTTTCAAAGGTAAATATTTACTGTTGTGAGAGAGACTTTTTCAGTAGCCAAACTTACAGCTAACCATGTGGCTTCAGAATATTCATCTTCCCATCTCTTGCATTATTAGAATATTCTCTTCTCAGCATTATTTGTATGATATCAAATGAAAATAGCATTTTGGAAATACTCTTTTGAATGTTTGAATGTGCTGTTGAGTGTTTGGGATACCTCAGATCTGTGTGTGTGTGTTAGGCAGGTGCATAGCAACATATACTCAGGATGGTCGAACTTTTCCTTTCCTTTCTGAAAGGACCGAGTTACTTGTGATACTTTTATTTCTGACCGAATTTCCCTGAAAACCGAAAGCACTTTTGGTGTTTGCGTGTGTGTGAAAGAGGCAGTTCAGCCGTTACAGCAGATGATGAGCAGCCTCTTCGCAGCAATCCATCTCCTCGCCCGTGTGCTGTGCGGTGCTAACACCATCCCAGTTCCCTCTCCCCGAGCTCCAGCGCAGGAAATGCCTCACAACTGGTGAATCACCGGAGCTGCGATGGGGGCACGGCAGAGCCTGGGCTTGGTACCCAGCGTGAACGCCAGATATTGGCAGCCAGGCTGTACACCAGATATTGGCACCTGCCGAACGTTAAAGCATCTCTGAAATTACCACTCACTGATGTCTAGACTGCCGGGCACTCTGGCATGCCCAAGGCAGGGGACCTGCTGGGGCGCATGGTGGCAGCCGTTTAGCCCGGGACCCGGAGTGCTGGAGAAGGGTGCACGGCTGAGTCTGTCTTCTCAGCTTCAGGGCAGGGTGCTGCTGAGGGGCGCACCCAGATGCCGGAGTTGAGAAGCACTCCCAGCTGCCGTACGGCGCAGGATCAAAGGTCTGCACAATCCTTATATGAGCTTTCTTCTGCCTCTTCCCCGTATTAATACAAATGCCTCCCCCTGAAACTCGCCCAGTTTTCAGAACCTAATTTGCGCTTCTTAAAGCCCAAACTTTTTGTCAAATGATCCTCCTTTGTAAGATATGTAGTAAAAATGTGAGATGTGATGGATGGGAGAGTGCTTGCGTTAAGGTACATACCGAATGTTTAATAATGGTCCTGTTGAGTTACGCTGCCTGAAAATTGTCAGTCTTTTAATTTTAAACAGTTTTACATTTATCCCATAAACTATTTTGAAACCTGAAGTGATTTGTTTTCCTGAATTTAATTTTCGATCATTTAAGACTATTCGTAGCTGCCAAAAGTTTTTACTTAAAATGCTATTACTACAATTTTTCATCAAGTTCTTACAGCCAGCACCCCAGAAAATATAACTGTTATTTAGTGTTGTAGGACAAACCTGTTCTAATTTTGTTGTAGGTTTGAACTGCTGTTGGATAGAAAGGAGGATAAAAAGAGTATAGTTAAATTTTCAAGTTGCAAAACCACATTCAGTATGTGTAATTTAGCAGCTGTTGCAAACACTCTACAATTTTTCATCAAGTTCTTACAGCCAGCACCCCAGAAAATATAACTGTTATTTAGTGTTGTAGGACAAACCTGTTCTAATTTTGTTGTAGGTTTGAACTGCTGTTGGATAGAAAGGAGGATAAAAAGAGTATAGTTAAATTTTCAAGTTGCAAAACCACATTCAGTATGTGTAATTTAGCAGCTGTTGCAAACACTTAGGGGCATTTTCTGTAGCATTTGAAAACTCCCTGTAGAAGTGAGACAGGAGACATGCATTTAGCATTTCAAGCTTGAAAAATATTTTAACTTGTCCTGAAATTGTGTTTTGAAGTTTAGGATTAACTCTGTGCCTGGCTGCACAGATGGCTACGTTTTACATATTCCTTTGTCTAGGGAAAAAAAGAGACCACATGGTCAGTTAATAGCTTTAAACACTCTTAGTGTTTATTCTACATCTTCTTAATGGGACCGCAGAGAATCTGGGAAGATACTCAGAAAATTGCTATTTATGGTGTAAGACTTGTAAGATGTGTTGTATTCTGTGTCTTGGAACTCATGAGTTATTTTTGCTCCTGCTTATTAATCCTGGTTAATGAATTTTATAGCTTCATTCCTTAAGATTTAACGTTCATAATTCTGTTATGTAAAAATAAAAACTAAGATCACCGATGTATAGAAAATGTTACTTTACTACTGGAATGTGAGGACTCTTATTTTTTAATCTTTTAATAGCCAAAATTATAGATGAAGTAGATTTTTAAGGAGAAGCAGACTCCATATCCAAGTCACTGAAGAGATTATAAAGTTAAATAAGATTTTTAGTCTTTCAGCGTACGACAGAATGCTTTCTAAGCTTTTTCCCTAGACACTCTTGGGAAATACCACAGTGAACTGTGGACTATACAAATCAAATGTGATGCTGGGATAACTGATGGAAAATCCATTAAGTCAGTGGTGTGTCACCAGAGCAGACAAAAAACCTCCTTTAAAA